CTGCTGCTTCGAGCTCCGTCCTTACTTTGGCGGTTCTTTCACGGTCGATCTGGAGTTTAGTGTCTTTGACATTGAGCAAGGTCCTCGCTGCAGTTATGACTATGTTACCTATGGAACAAGTGACGGTATTACCGAGATCGACTGTGGCACGAAGGATTTCGGATACATTAGATCGTGTAAGGAAGAATATATTTTCTTTTGGTTTTCTTTTCTTCTCTTTGTTTTGCAAAGTGTTAGAATTCACCAGCTTGACTCCGTTGTGAACGCAACACGTTGCGGCAGTATACCTCCAGGATATACAACAATATTCACATCGAGTAGTCAGTGGCACACTATTACGATATACGTTTTATATTTATATGCTCAAAGTACTAATCCGTCAAATTGTTTTTTAAATGACCATATAGAAATACTTGTTTATCAACAATACCTTATTCAGATATAGAAACCTTACACAGACCTATCAATCTACCTGTTTGTAATGTGCTGAAAGACTCACCATCGCAACAATACTAAATAGACATCTTGTTTTATACTCCAATCAGCAACTTACTTAATAATGAATGATTGTACCATGTTGGTTTTTCAGTCAACAGTACGGACAGTTTCCAGTTGTGTTTCCATAGTGACGCCTCTATTGTTGGTCGTGGCATCAATGTCTTATATATCACTCTCCCAGGTGTGTACATACTGTATTGGTTTAAGAACGCAAAACAAATTTCAACTTCCATCGTTTTTCTGTATGCAAAAGGTATGACGTCAAATTCCAACATATTCTAAATTTGTTTTCATGGATACAGTATCTGAAGAAAATAGTTCTCTGCCAGCCTTAAACTACAGCACCACTCCATCCTTGAACGTGACAGCCTCGCCTTCCCTGAACTACAGCACCGCTCCGTCCTTGAACGTGACAGCCTCGACTTCCCTGAACTACAGCACCGCTCCGTCCTTGAACGGGACAGCCTCGCCTTCCCTGAACTACAGCACCGCTCCGTCCTTGAACGTGACAGCCTCGCCTTCCCTGAACTACAGCACCGCTCCGTCCTTGAACGTGACAGCCTCGCCTTCCCTGAACTACAGCACCACTCCGTCCTTGAACGTGACAGCCTCGCCTTCCCTGAATTACAGCACCACTCCGTTCGAACGTGACAAACTCGTCTTCACCGAATTTTACCTTTCCCTACAACAATGCAACATCTTCTCCCGAAACCACCGGAAATGAATCTCGTAAATATAGTTTCATAGTTGATTTTAAAGGCTATATATGAAACAAGAAACTTTTCCCTATTCTCTGAACTTTGTCTCATCGAAAATGAAGACACAAATCGTGACAACTACTCTTCCCGACCAGCTTTTCGTCAGTGGGTTTAAGTAGAACGTTGAACCACAGAGCGGACAGGATAGCATTTGAATATTTATTTGAATGAAAAAAGGGCTTTTCCATAACGATAAGTCCATTCTGAGATTCCGATCATATCATAAGCATGTTTTATTAACCACTTCCAAATAGTGAGGATACTAGGTGTTAACGAACAGATGAGCGTAACCGACTGACACCATCACAAACACATGCAAAGACAAGTCAATTGCTCTCCTGAAAGAAACAGGTACACATGATACAAATGAAATAAGGAATTGCATCATACATCATTTTTTTAGATATCCTACCATAAATATTTTGAAAGTTTTACTGATGCCATGACTGTATTAACCCTGAAAAAAACAACCTTTGAGCAAGAGTCGTATGACGCTCTTCGAAATCTTAGGAGAAAAAGGATGCTTGATTGTGAAATGGAGATAAACATTGTAATATTGCTCGCTCGTATCGTAGTATTGTGAATACTGAATTATTATGCATATATCTAAATATGAAACAGATGTAGTGGTTTCACTGGTATCTATTATTTCCGGCTCAGGTGAGCAAATCAGATGAAGGTAATTGGTTATTTGACAAATATTCAAAGATATGAGATCATTCATATACCTGAAGCGTAAGTTATACTTTTTGGCCAAATTTCCGTGTTTTGATTTTGCCAATCCGAGCATAAATCCTGACTCGTATGGATAAAAAACAGATGAGGTAATTTCGAGGACAACTGGTACCCATGGGGATGCCTACGACTTGTCTACATTTCACACAGATATTATATACATGTATGAGGAAGTCCAACATTTCACAGTGAGATTCGGTTATGCATGTCCTAGGCCATGCTATATTTCCCTCTTTGTACGGATTTTTATGAATACATCAGACTTATTTCGAGTAATTTATGATATGACTGTATTCTGAATTGACGAGATGTCGTCGTCCATGTCCCATGCATTGAATGACAACATGCAAACATACATGCTACAAGACTATTGAGCTGTCTTCCCCTGATAGAAGCCTATCTTTGTGTTTAAGGGGGTGTTCCCAGGAGCCATCGCAACTGCACCTTCTCTACCCTTGCTGACCAAGGCATGATCCAGAGCCTGCCTGGTACAGGGGAGGACTACCAGAACAACCTCAACTGCAGCTACGTCTTCAATGTGCCCAGGAACAGCAGTATTCACTTCAACTTCACCACCTTCGACCTCGAGGGCGGTAATGGATGTCCCTACGATTATGTTCAGATCAATGGTGGACGAAGATGGTGTGGAAGTACAATTAACGGGAGGCAAGGTAAGCTCAGAGAAGTGGTCGATATCAAATGAGAGTTCAACGTTGTAGTAACGCACTACATGAAATCAAAACCTTCACCAGATATTTATTTTGAATTGGGCTCTCTTGTCAATAGGTTCCACTGTTTCTGTTACAGTGAACGGAACTGGTGAGGTTGTGCTGAGATTTGTCACCGACGGTTCAGTGACAAGCAGAGGTTTTGTGGCTCGCTTCAACATCAGGATGGGTACGATACACTTCTGAATGTGTGGCTATGAAAAAGATATATGATCGAGTTCGTGAGTTCGTCAAAACGTTGTCAAAAGATTTACCATTTAATAACAAACTTCTGAATACGAAGATCATTTAAGATATGTGTTTTGTCATCTCATGAATCATTACTGTGTGTATGTATTCACACACAAGTTATTATTGAGTCGTTTTCCCTTTACATTTTACTTTACTTAAGAAAATGGAACATCTCCGAACACAACAGTCGCACCAGCCAACACGACAGTCGCACCAGGCAACACGACCGTCGCACCAGCCAACACGACCGTCGCACCAAGCAACACGACCGTCGCACCAGGCAACACGACCGTCGCACCAAGCAACACGACCGTCGCACCAGGCAAACACGACCGTCGCACCAAGCAACACGACGGTCGCACCAGGCAACACGACCGTCGCACCAGGCAACACGACCGTCGCACCAAGCAACACGACCGTCGTACCAGGCAACACGACAGTCGCACCAGGCAACACGACCGTCGCACCAGGCAACACGACAGCCGCACCAGGAAACACGACAGTCGCACCAAGCAACACGACAGTCGCACAAAGCAACACAACCGTGGAACCTTCCGACGAAACAACAAATGGTAGGTCATTGTCTTCTTACACACAAATAAAGCCTTCATGGGTAAAGGAAATTTATAGTCTCAATATGTGGAGCTTTGATGGACACATTTAGCTGTTAAATAGATAGTTGATGGGGGCAGTGGGATCTTGTAAATATGTTCGTTCACGTCGCTTATAAGATGAAGAGGAATTTGGTTTCAGCAACTGAAATATTAAAAGGAATGAATTGTTGAACAAAAGCCACCCGCTATGTTATGATTTTCTAAATGCATATTATTTGCATTTTCCTACAAACACGGGACAAAGTTTAATTCCTTGATCAGAGTATAGTTCTTTATGGAACCTTGAAGTCATACGGTTCCAGGACAATACTATTATGATCATAAACAACCCGTGAGTCATGTAAACGGTTTTTTGTGTGTTTTTATAATTATTTATACTTTCATAATAATTTCCATATTTATGACACAGGATTTGGGCCTTGTCAATATATCCCACACATTGTGACTCATGTGTTATTTTTAGAGGAAAGAAACTCGCAGTTCTGCCTTCAGTTGTGCTGTTACATGCATGAAGTCAACTTTATTTAGTGGAAAAGCCCAAAGAAAACATAGATGACCAGAGCAAGAGTTTGTCCCCAAAGTTACTTCATTTGAGAGTTGGCAAACGTGTATAATGATGCAAGTTCCCATCTCTCATTGCAGCCTGCAACTACGACACTGCCTCCCTCGAAGGCAGAATATCTCTGGCAACTGATATTGATGGTTTCTACGCAAACAACGAAGAGTGCCGCATCAATCTATATTCACCTGCTCTTCCCCACGTGACCACGATCAATTTCACACGCTTTGATGTTGAATATAATAGCAACTGTCGTTACGACAGCCTGTCAGTGAGGCTTGGAAACAACACCATCGACACACTATGTGGAAACAACAGAAGTCCCTTCGTGAAGCAATGTAAGCTCACTGCAAGTGTTAATATCAATGTTAACACAGGTACATTAGTACATTTATGCATGTGTCTTCTGAAATCGCCTTTTAGTTTCTGCATATTTGTGTCCCCCGCTCTGATATTGGTATACTTGAGATGACAGAAACAAAAATTTTCACATCACTTTTATAAATTCAACTCCTCTGTTATCTGATAAAGATTTCTATAATCCAGACTCTAACGCAGAACCACTCCTCGCCATGACATTCGTCAGTGATTCGAGTGTTTCGGGTCTCGGTTTCGCATTCGACTACCAGACTGAAGTGGGCAAGTACAACCTTCGCATCACATACCTAATCAGTGGTTATTAATAAACTGTTTACATTAACGTATATTTATCATTGTATCATGCCCCATTCAGACCATTCAGATGAACAAATACTCTGATCATTTTAAAATGAATTGTTGGGACCAAGTTTCAAGTTGATTTCATCTCAGCCAAACAGGCGAATATCACCTCACAAGCATTATTCTGCTTTCCTCCTTGGCATTGCACTTTTAATAACCCCAAGCCCTCATTAACAGGAGAGACACTTGTTTGATCCAACGATCCCAAGCTCAGTTTCGTGTGGTCAATGACACAAAACTAAGGACATGAAACTACTTTTAGGGTGTTCTGCCTTTTTATCGAATTCAGAGTACTGTAATGCTGTGATCAATGGTACATCCGGGTCATTCGCAACTCCCCCTGGTGGCTACAGTCCCAACATGGCATGCACATACACCATCAACACTCCCACGCCAGCTGAACTCCACTTCACCTTCGAGGAATTTGACATTGAGAGTGCAAGCAGATGCATGTACGACGCCGTTACCATGGGCGAAGACAGACTGTGTGGAAGCAACCCCGGCAGCAAGACATACCGTGAGTGTAGCTCACTTTCCACCTCTATAATTTCGGTTACATGTTTATCATTTCTGCTTTCCGTTCATTTCTGATGAACAAGAAACACTAAAATAGAAACAGTTTTAGTTACTTTGAAGTATTTTAAAATTACAAATAAAAAGCTACACCTAGCATACTTTTACATATGAATTTCTTTCTGTAAAACCTGAATTAGTACTTCCAGTAACTTTATGTTTATTGCTGCTCAGAATCTGATGGAACCTTTGTGATCACCTTCACATCTGACGGCTCCGTGCAAAGGGAAGGTTTCTACATGTCCTTCACATCATCGCCAGGTGAGCTTCGCACATATACTAGTAAACAATATGGATCTGGTAATACAAGTATATTTGTATAGAAGTGCCCATAAATTCAAGTCTTAAATATTATTTAACCAATTTCTTTGTTTCAAAAACGTAAACATAAAACTATCTTTACAATTGTGGAATCCACAATCAAATTGATCATATAAATGTGATGTGGGGTTGTTTTGTAAACAAGATACACTGACACATACTTTTTAACTGATATTCCTATTTTCTTTTACGCAGTGGCATAAACAGACTGACCTACACCGCGAGATCTAGTTGACAACAATATGAGTAAATAAACTCCATGTGCTCTATATTGATCTTTCATCTCATTATTTCAATGAGTTAATTACGCTTTGAACTGTAAATTAACTCATAACGACGTCTTTCGTCTGTATGCCGCTATTCGCTATGCAGAGTTGTGAACCTTTGTTGCACCGGAGACCGCTGATCGACGGTTCGAAATCCAAGATTCACCCTGATTATGTTTCTGGTCTTATGTTTCTTGTGTGTTTCACCACAGAGGCAATTGTCTGAGACCTGCATCACTTTGGGTTTTCTGAACACAAGAAGCTTACACGCCGGATTGTAGCTGAAATACTCTTCCAAGAGGCGTTAATACCAACTCACACACTCAATCATAAAGTCTATTAATATGTTACAAGTCTCTATTCATCTTTCTGATGTTGGAGAGTCCAATGGGCCTATTGGAATTCATTGTGAAGGTACATACAATCCGCCATAGGGCACTATATGTAAAAACAAGCGCATCCACAATGGCAAAATATCCATAAGGATAGGCCTGGGAGACGAACTGTAACCCGGACCGCCGATTCCCAACACGACACAGACCGCAGACTGGCGTGTATCCAGCTAACGCCACTACAGTTTGGCTTTATACCGTTCTTTCACGCTTTCGTTATGCTCTGTGTCGGCCCACATGTACAGAGCAATCTTAGTTACAAGCGATTTTAGGCGCCGAAGATCAACTTTAGAGCCACCATACAACTGTCCTATTCCACTTGCACAAACCAATCTTTGCACGATTGTAAGATGGCTTTGGGTTCAGTTCGAATTCTTCAACGATGGAGATACGATTATCTTTAACTTGACTCCCGTCTACAGGTATCTGCAAATGCGCAAAGGTTGGTGCTCATACCAATAGTGGAACCGGTTACGACACACAACACGAACCTCCTTCCATCGCACCTTGTGAAGTTTTACTAAAGGTCCCAATTATGTGATGAAAACAATGAGTAGGATGATGTCATGTAGGTTTTTTTCTGTATTGATACTGCAGTGATTTGTGAATTTGACATCACAACAAGAAAAAATACCTACCCATCTTTTATGGAAATATTGAAATAGGAATAAATACATGCATAAATTTGGCTCCAGGTTTAGTGGCATAATCATTGTGCAGTATAAGCAGTAATAATTTCCCTTATAACATAACACGTAAATGTAGGATTCGCCAATGGTTGTTATAAGGTCACTAGTTAAAACGCATCTATTTGGGGGAGGGGAAGGCTTTTCGTAAAATCCTTAATATATCCTATATGTATAGATTTTGCTGCTATAATAAAAGATGCTATGACTACTATGGGATTGTGAATGAAAGGGAAATAGGAGTAATATATAATATTTCGGAAAAGCAGTTGTTTACTATATATTAACTTACATTCAGCACGCAGCCAAGTGACTCGTGACTTATTATCTTGATACACGTACAGTTCACATTCAACATGCAGACCAGTGACATATGACTTATCTGGATACACGTCCAGCTTACATTCAACAACCAGGCAAGGGACATATGACTTATCTCCATACACGTACATCTTACATTCCACATGAAGCCCAGTGACGCATGACTTATTTGATCCACGTACATCTTACATTCCGCATTCAGTCCAGTGACATAAGATATATCTGAATACACGTACAGCTTACATTCCACATGCAGCCCAGTGACGTATGTCTTATCTGGATACACGTACAGTTTACATTCCACATTCAGTACAGTGACATATGTCTTATCTTGATACACGTACAGCTTTTATTCAACATGCAGCCCAGTGACATATGGCAGCCCAGTTGAGTAGGCTATGCGTGAGAGAGTGAGTGAATACGAGAGGGAAAGAGGGCGAGAAGGGTGGCTTACAAATAGAGTAGCGGCCAACCCTTAAAGCGAGGCTGATTTAATGAATAACCCCTCATCACAGTAGAACAAAGCACAATCATATTTTTCTTCACAAGATGTCATTAATGCATTAGAAAACGATGGTTGTGGTGATTTCTTTTGGTTGCAGACATGTATTTTGGTGGTAAATTGCATATTTGTGTCTAAAGAAGTCAGTCTGCATTTTGCAATGCTCATTTTATAAACAAAATCAGTGTGCTGACTTAGGAAACCTACAAAAGAATAATTAGCAAAATTATCAAAGTCGAGTTATGGGCCAAAATGTGTCAAAAACAGGAACAAATTATTCAATTTTCATTTTCAAAATATTCCTAAACTCAAGGTAATGTTACTTCCATATTGACAACCGTGTCGTGTGATATCTCAAAATCTGCCTGAATGCTTAAGGAACTTACAATGATATCCATATATACAATATAACATTTAGTAAATGTGATCCGGACCCCCATCCTGTGAAGGAAACAACAAATAATAACATAGTTTAAAAATAACTATGACAACACTAACATTCTTGTACACCAATGTGTTTATTTGAACACATGAATCGTTTAAGTATCTTACATATATGAGCTTGAGAAATTTGATTTATCCAATATGGCGGACAAAATGGCCTCCAAGATGGCCGCCAATTCCATAGTCGTGTTCACTTTGGAATGTATAAGAACTTTATATGTCAAAATTTTGGTTTCGACCGGGAACTCCATCTAGCGTGTTATTGTCATATATAAGATAATTATCGCCTGTGTTATGTACTATAATTGCTGATCATATTGATTTACTTTAAAGTGTCAATGTGAAGTACTCATATGCTTACGGGATCGGGTGGTCAGGTTCGCTGACTCGGTTGATGCATGTCATCGTATCACAATTGCATTGATCGATACTCATGTGGCAGTGTCATTTCTATAATTTATCTGTATATATATGGTATTGGTTTTAGACAGTGTAATTGGTGTATTTTATTAGATCATGTACGGTACAAGTTTCCAGCCTGATTGCTCCAAGCTGAACTTGGGCTGGTAAGTTCTTTTGTTTATTGTCAGGGGCGAGAGTATTCTTTTGTCTTGCTTTTAGAGGGCAAGCTTGTTTACTAACACAAGCACTGAGTCAGTCTACTATATACAGCTCTCTCTGGACAGTCACGACATGAGACTCATATTTTGACACGTATTGTGCCAAGGACTTTCACGGCTTCATCTTCACTATAAATCTCCAAAGGTTAGTTTTAATACTAGATTATAAACATTATGTAGGATGTAATATTTGTTTTAGTACAGCATTTAAATGTAAACATTATTTTAGTGTAGATATACTTGTGGGATTTGAGTGTATGAATGTAATTTATGTCATAAGTAAAGTAACGATAATAAACACACCATTCATGTTTATGATTCTCTGATGTAATGTACTATAATATGTTTTTTATGATAAAGGCGACAGATATAAGTATTTGTGTCCGCCATATTGTTTGCCATGAGAAATGTGTGTTGTGTATAATTATGAGCATATTACAGCATAGGTAATGTGTATATTTATGTAGGTTTATCTGTGACATTCTATTTGAGATAATGTTGGTAGTAGGTTCAGATTGAATTAATATGGCAGTAGATTACTATGTATATTATTCTATGATATTTATATTAAAGTTAGAATGACATGTGTATGTTATTTATAGATGGATCTGAGTGACGAGTGATTTGGCCTACTATCACCTGAGTGCCATACATTCAGTAGGCATAATAATTTAGTTATTCATCGTTTATATTTCATGTATGTATAATATACATCTTGTATATAAAAGTGCATTGATGCAGTTGAAGTAATATGGAAAACATCATATAATGTGAATGCATTTTAATTATTATATAAATAACGGTGATAAGTGCAATGTTTTAATGAGTATAATTATTTATTTATTATTTGTTCAATTATGTTCCATGGTGAATATTGGAATGGAAAATAAACTTGTGGCTTTTTGGTCGCAACTCACCCCCAGCAGGCGTTGGTCTTAACTGTGATATTTGCACCACCCTAACCTGCTACAAAATGGAGCCCCCGGTGAGGAAAACTGACGAAAGAGGAGAGTGAGGTGCCACATCAGTGAGATATCAGCTGTACTCGCATACGTGTTAGTAGAATATAGTAGAGCTCTACTTGTAATTTACTGTGACACTATGTAATCTTGGCCGCGTACGCGTCTGACATTGCACGTCAGCTTTCAGTGTTTTTGGATCGCTTTGTTCTATCTTTCTCGTGATCATGTGATCACAGTTTATATATATTAATTGCGTAATTGTCATGGAGCAGTGTAACTTGCTACTTATGTATTTGTAAATTCACAAATTATATACCCATAAGGTAATCATATTGTGCTAAATTTGTCTGATAATATGTAATTTAAATTTGATATATTGGATTATCTTGTCATTGTTAGACAAGATGTGATACTATTTCATCAACTATAAGTATTTGTGTTTTGTAAATTAAACTTAACCATTTCTTAGTTGTGTTCATAATTAAGATGTGATTGAATGCAGCTATTAGTTTTTCACTTGTGAAATAGAATTTGATGTTTAGAGTTTAGTTAGTTATGAGTTTTGTTAGTTGCTTTATTTAGTTACTTTAGTTAGTTACTTTAGTTACATTAGTTACCTTTGTCATTAAGGGTACCCTACTAGTTGGTGATCACCATATTACCTATCTGTCATGCCTTAGTTACTTTACTTAGTTATATTACCTTGCAATGCGTGTTTGGTTGAAGTGAGTTTTTGTGACTGTGTAATAAAAGTGAGTAGGTTTAAGCTTATCTATAATAAGGTGTTAAACTTTCTGTAATTATGTAGGTATAAGTGGCTTGTGTTGTCTCTCTTTCTGACTGACAGACTTGACTGATTACCTTAGCCGCACTCAGTATATGCACGTTGCACCATGTAACCATATATCTATTTTTTTTATTTACTCAGTGGAACCTTTCGTAAGTGAAGTTCTTTATTGACCATATTTGTTTTTCAATTTTCAGCAGATGAGTTTATAAATCTGAAGTGTTCTGTTATATTGTGAAGTTCATTATGGAACAGTTTGTGTTTGTCATTGATCCTCAGTGAGATGTAT